GACCAGTCCAAAGGAGGAAACTCCCCAATTGAGGCTCCCTCAATCCAGGTTTGTCAAGTTGACACTAAAGCTAGCCAACAAACCTCCCAAAGCCTGTAAATAGAAATTTCTTTGGAAATAGGGTCTTTGCAGATGATCAGGTTAGAATGAGGTTATTAGAAAGAAGCTCTACTTCAATAGAACTGGTGTCCTAGTAAACACAGGAATTTGGAGTGAAGATGGGTTTTAGACTCCTACCAAGCCAAGAAATCTCCAGAAGCTAAAAAGCAAGATCAGATCCTTTTCTGGAGACTTGAGAGGGAACATGGCCCTGCTGACATCTTGGTCTTGGACTTTTGCCCTCCAGAACTGTACGAGTGTATATCTGTCATTTAAGATGTCACTCCATCTGTGACATTTGGTTATGGCTACCATGGCAAACTAAGATGGTGAGTAAAGGTCAAATATCAGAGACAACTTGGAACACCCCACCTGCTCAAGGGAGTGGCCACAAGCAAAGGCACAATCCGTAGAAGCAGCACATAGTAAAGCAGGGCCTTTCTGTGAGTCTGTCTGTGGCACTGTCTTCATCCCCCTGCCATCTTGTTACATTGTCATCATCTGCAGAATTCATGGGAGATGAACACTCCAAGGAAAAGTTGTCATTAAAGTAGAATATCCAAAATGATGCTATATTCAGTACTGAGGAGAGGAGAAGCAGCTTTGGGGAAGAAATCAGGACAAAGGAAAATGGAAAAGTAGTGTTTCCATTTACCATTTGCTTTCACATCTCCCACTTGGAACTGTGACCCATGGCCATGGGAATAAGCAGTAGCAAAGCAGTAGTGGGTGAAAGGTCAAAGGATGCCAGGGAAAAGAAGGACTCAGAAGGTCACTGAACCAGTGGCATTTATGGGCGGGATTCCTGTCTCTCGGTGTTGCTGAGGCTCTCCGCGGCTACTGGATGCTGGCGACTCAGCGGGTCGCTGCGCTTCCAGGCGAGTTCCATTCCAAGCTACCGGGCACTCCCTCTATGTTTCGCGATCCGTTGGCCACTGGGTCATAAGGGGAGGTGCAAGAACGGCGAAAGCAGGATCTTCACGAGTGGCTGTTTACAAAGGGACAGCCCCCTCCGGGGAGATTGTATCACAGGCTGGTTCTGGGCGCAGTGAGACACAGAATTCAGTGATACAGCTCAGCTCCAGATACAGCTCCTTTATTCAGTGACTCAGCTCCACTCCAGATCTTAGTGATTCAGCTCCAGATACAGCTCCGATTTATTAGGGGGAAACCAGGATATTTATAGTGTGGAGGCAGTAGCAAAAGCATTAGTTGATAGGTGCTTTGTAAGATGCCCTATTTACATATGGTGGTGGGCTTCTAACAGACTGTCAGACATTGCCTGATTATCACACAGGAAAACCTGGCAGTTTCATGCCGGAGGATATGTATCTGTGACGGGCACTTCAAAAGGTGAGTCAGGAAGAGAGTAGGAAGGCGCCCAGCTAAGAAAGGGAGCCTCTGCATAAGAACGCCGAGCCGGCCTGCAGCTATCCGGACATGGAGGGACTGCTACCTTAGACAGCAGGGGTCCCCAACAGGCATCAGCACTCCTGGGAGCTGTCCCAGGCCTGCAGGTTGAAGAACTCTGGGTTGGAGCCTGGTCATGTGTCTTAACAAACTTTCCAGGGAAATCTGATCCATGCATGTTTGAGAAGTATCTTGCTCAGGAAAGCACAAAAGAGCCAGATGGAAGGCAGAGGCAGCAAAACTTCAAGTTATGCTCTAATGCATTACTTTGCCTGAACAATTTCAAATCATACTTTAAATCCAACTGAAATTAAATCATAAAATGATAGCATGTTAGATTTTAACCAAAAGCTCATCAACATCAGCATCCACTAGTCTTTCTGCAAAGAGCTTTTCTAGGTGCTGTGGGCCAGCAGTCACTGCATCTGTTACATGAACCATATCCAGGGTATACTACCTAAATTCTAGTTCACCTTTGTAGCAGTAAATTGAAGAAGCAACTGCAAGCAGGGAAAGATATTTCGAATTTGTGTAACTATTTCCCCTGCCTTCCAAGCTTCATGGCAAGTATTCTTTTCTAAGTATTTTATTATTTTTTGTGTATGAGTTTATTACCTGCATGTAAGTGTACCCCTGCCATGCAATGCCCTCAAACGTCAGAAGCAGGTGCCATATTCCCCTGGAACTGGAGTTAAGGGCAGTTATTTGCTACCATGTGGGTGCTGGAAATCAAACCAGGGTCCTCTGAAAGAGCAGTCAGTGCTCTTCACCACTGAGCCATCTCTCCAGCCCCATCATGGCAGTATTCTTGCTGGTTCTTTTAAGCTCTATGTAATACTTTGTATTTCTAGATCTGGTGTTTGTATTTATATTGCTACATTTTAGATTAGGAAGGACAAGAACTTAAATGTAAAATGGGACATGCCTATTAAGCTAACCAAATATAACTTTGTCATGTAATCACATGACAAAAATCACTGTTAATGATTTTAGATGAGTTTGCTTAAATCTATAATCCACTTTGTAATATATTGACAAATCAGGAAAAGCCTCCCTTTAGTTGTGACTGCCAATCATGTGTTGAAGGCTGTTACTAAGCTTTCTCCACCTGTGGGCTCTGCTTGGCATACACTCAGGTATTGCCTCATAGAACTTGCAAAACACCTCTATGATACTCATCTTACACCCATGAAAACAGAGGCCCAGAGACAGCTAACACAGGAGAGCATTCTCAATGGGCCATCTGCCTTCCACACACATAGCCTCAAGCCTATGGCAACACAAATAATCACACAATTACAGTCACTCTAAGAGGGAGGAAGAGAACGGTAACTCTGGTACAGTAGACATTTTGGGTTTCCTTTCCTGTTGCGCTCATAAAATACCCTAAGAAAAGCAGCTTAAGGGCTATCCTACTTTGTTTCCCCACTGCTGTGACAAAGCACTCTGACCACTACCAACTTGAGGAGGAAAGGTTCTACCCGTCCCACATCTCCCGGGTCACAGTTCATCAGGGAGCTCAAGGTAGGAACTCAGGGCAGGAACCTGGAGGCAGGAGCTGGAGCACTGGTCATGGAGGAACGCTGCTTGCTGACTTTCTCCCCTGGTCCCCGTTCATTCTGCTTTCTTATAAAACATAAGCCCACCTGCTCAGGGTGGCACCACCCACATTGGGCTGCCCCCCCCACATCACTCAATAATCAAGAAGATGCCCCACAGACCAGTCCAATGGAGGCAATTCCCCAGTTGAGGCTCCTTCAACCCAGGTATGTCAAGTTGAAACTGAAGCTATCCAGCACCAGCACAAGGGTTTACTTTAATTCACAGTTCAAGGTACCCCACCATGGTGGGGAAGTCAGGACAGCAGGAGCTTGAAGCATCTGGTCACAGCGGATCCAGCTGGTAAGCAGAGAAAGTGAATGCATGCTTGCTAGTGCTCATTCCACTGTCTATATTTTATGCAGCCTAGGACACTAGTCAGGTGATGGTGCGGCCCACAATGGGTGTCTCCCCACCTCAATTAATCTAATCACAGCAATTCACAACAGGCATACCAGAAGCCCATCTCCCAGATGATTCTAGAATCTATCAACTTGACAACACTAACCATCACAGGAAATATCTATCTTAAATAATACTTATGTGAAACCCCACTGCCATTATTAGCACCATGAGTTCTTTAAATTGGAATTCTACCAGGACCATCATTTCATTTACAGACTAAACTCCAAAAGATTGAATTCCTGTAGGTAGGGGATATACCTTTTGTGATTTTGTGTTCTTGGTTATGATGCAGAGTGGACACGAACGTGACACAAATGTCAGCTAGTGTATTCATAGGAACACTAAATGCTAATATGTAACCGCAGTTTGAACCTTATCTGCTAATACTTAGCCTGACTCACATCAATATGTTCTCATTCTGAATAGTGCTATTTCCATAGACAAAACTTAGATTAAAACACTGAAGAGGATCTAAAATGAATTTGAAGTTATAAATGAAAGCTAATAAAGTAGAGATTTTCTGATCCCTAGACAGACTTAAGTGTAACCTAGACAAAAGCAACTCTGGGCATCAGTGAGGAGCGTTTAATGGAGGCAGTGAGAGGGTACGTCAAATTGTTGATCTTCTTACTGAGCTCCCTTGACAGTTAATTTCATGAGTTGTCTATACCCAAAATACTATATTCCTGTAACACTGGTTACACATAGCCTAATTTTCCATTTCTAGTTATGCTTTGTTTCTCAAATCTTGAACCTACATCTAATCAATAACAGTTGTGACCAGAAAATGTCCAATAGTGATTATTTTGTTATAAGATTTAAAAATAGTTAACTAATGGATGAGAAAATGGCTGCTTTCAGTGAAGACTGAAGAAGCAATTTATACCTATAAAGATACTCTGAAAAGTTTCAGAACCTGTTAACTGCCAGCTTTATTTAAAAAGTACAAATATCTTGACATGGAGAACTTAAAGTTGTTGGGGTTTTTTGCTTCACACAAAACTGACACAATAAAGAAATCTATACCAAATTAGTCACTCCATCCACCAATTTAACACTACAATATTCAGGATAAATGAAAGGATTTAATTATAAACAAGAAAAACAAGTCATTTCTAACATGCTGCTATAATTAAAACATACCATTTATGAGCCAAACAATTTCAACAACAAACCTCAGAGTTTGCTTACAACAAACTAATGACTGATGGTGAATTGATGCAAACATTCCACATCTGAGAAAAAGCATACTTCTTATGAATTCTAACAGTCAATCAAGTAGAATATTGTTTTACAAAGGTACTACTGCTGGCCATGTGACTTGTTTAGGCTTTGAAGGTTTAGATTAGGCCGACTGGGAGGAAGGCTCCTAAGAGAGAGGATTGAATGGAACGGGGCAACTTAAAGATAACCTGTCAATTTCCAGGGACAACGAGACCAGCTTTTTAGCAACAGCTATATATTAGAACAGGAATGAAAAAGAGAATAAGCACACTTCTTAGGAATTCTAACAGTCAGCCAAGCAGAATCTTGTTTTACAAATGTGACTTGTTCAGGCTTTGAAAGTTTAGATTAGGCCGACTGGGAAGAAGGCTCCTAGAGGGAGGATTGAATGGAATGGGGCAACTTAAAGATAACCTGTCAATTTCCAGGGACAACGAGTCCAGCTTCTTAGCAACAGCTACATATTAGAACAGGAATGAAAAGCAAAGCATTTTGAAAGCTACATCTATCAAAGCACATTATCATCTTCTCATGGTGAGTTGAAATTTCTCTCAAGATCAAGTCATGCCTAAGTCTTTTGGAGTGCATTTCAGTGCTTACCTCTGAACTCTGTTCAGAGATGCTACTCAGACTGTAGAGACTTTAGAAATAGTGGTAACATTTTAAAGAGGAGTAAGTGCTTCTTTCTTATAATGAACAGACCTGGTCAAAATATTTGACCAGGTAAAAGCATCACACTTTCAAGTTCTCTATCTCTTACTCCTGAGAATAAAGACAGCTTTCTTTTTTTTCTGAAAAGGTGTTTTTCAGAGGTGGTTGAGACCTTTCTACATGAAATATGAGACAATACTGTAGTTAATGGGAAAACTAAGGGACTGCTTCCCACTAATACCAAATTGGGGGGGGGGGGACGTAAAATGACCTCTATCAACTACAATGCAAAATGTGACTCAAACATTAAAGGAACAGTGGATCCTTTGCTGAACAGAGGATCAAGTATGATTACCCACTGTGATGTTATGAGTGCACTTTTGTTTGGGCAAAATAGTTTAATGTCTCAGAAAAAAAAAGTTCATAATATTTTCCTAGCAAAAGAGTGGTTATGAAGTCCAGCGCCACCAAGTGACCTTCATTCTGTCCCATACTGCTGAGAATGAATCAAAGGCAGGACGCACATCCAAGATGGTGAACTGGTAGTCCTTGTTGACCTTGCCGCCATCATAGTAATCAATCACGTACCTAACTTCTGTACCACAACGGTTGACGATCCAGTCGTGCCTGTCGAACGGCAACTCATACCTGGAATGAAAGCACACTAGCCAGTGTTAAAATGCTGGCCTGCATTTGGAATGCTGTATGCAGAGAAGACTGAGCAGCAACAGCTGCTCAAGGACTTGTTCTCAAGTGCAGACACCTGGAGGGGAGGGGGGGAGGGGTGGGGAGGGGCAGGGAGGGGAGGCTTGGACATTCCTACTACAGTGCTAAGAGAATGAATGTGCTGCTGAAAAGCTAAGAGTCTAGATTAGATCATCTGTCCACAAGGTCCGTGGAAAGAAACCCAAGCCAGAAAGGCCAGCTGAGAGGCGGCAGAAACTCAGCATGCAAAGGGGCTCAACTACAAGACAAAGGGAAGAACTGAACAAGAGAAATGCAAGGACCCAAAGACAGCAGGAGGAGTAGGAAGGCAGATCTAAGAACCCAGAAGACAGCTCTCAGTTCAATTCTCTGACCGCGAACTAGGAAGCTAGCCACTCCATCTTAATAACCTGTCCATTCATGAGTAAACTGAAGGAGATGAAAAAGTCTAGGGCTGGATGTAGAGTTTTAGAAGATAGAACTGCTTTTCTTTTCTTTTTTTAAAATTTTATTAATTTTATTTTATGTGTATGCATGTATTGCGTGTATTTAGGTCAGTGGACCCGTGTCATGCAATGCCCGCAGAGGTCAGAAGAGGCTGTCGGGCCCCTGGGACTGGAGTTATGGACAGTTGTTAGCTGCCATGTGGGTGCCAGGATTCGAACCCGGGTCTTCTCCAAGAACAGTGTTCTTAACCACTGAGCCATCTCTCCAGCCCCATGAACTGTTTTTCTTAAAGACTCTAGCGTGGGTGGCAAAAGAATGCTGCCGGTGACGTAGGAACGTAAACAGCAGAACTGCATTGACACTTACCCCATCCATGACCGAATTCTTGCTCTTGGTGAATACTCTCTTGCTTTCCCTCCGAATCTGACCAATGACGGGCCACAAGGACATTCACTGAAAACCCCCAAACAAGAAAATTCTATGAAAATCTTTTCTTTCCATTGACAAGAGGATAGTCTAGTTTTTTTCAGAATGGTTGAGGTGCCACATGTGTACTAGGAACTGAACCCAGGTCCTCCGCAGGAGCAACAAGCACTCATGCACTGAGACAGCTCTCCAACGACGTTCCATGTTTTCAGTGATATTTCTTCTGCATTTCTTTCTCATAATACATTCATGGAGAACAGAAACTTTTAAAAGTACTCGAATTGGCCTATTTCTTGGAAAGATTCCTCTTTCCTTCAGGCTCTGTGCCATCTCTCTCTCACCCTATTCTCTGTACACATCTGCCTGGCTTTTCTGCAGGAGTCAAAAGCCAGCACCTTCTCATTTGAGACAAGAGCACAGACACATTCTCAGAAAGAAAACAAAAACCCAAAGAGTGTTAAGTACTATATATCTTCCTTCTCTTTTGCATAGAGCAGGTAGGATTTCTTCGGAGAAACAAAGAATCCTATAGTGAGCCGCCTGGATCCATGGGCTCCATTTTCACAGATTCAACCGTCGATTGAAAACATTTGGACAAAACTGTATTGAAGCTTGGAGATGTAGCTCAGTTGGTATAGTACTTGTCTAGCATGCATACATGTGCCTGGGTTCTATCCCCAGCACCACATAAGCCAATTATCTTGATACACAGCTGTTGGGAGGCGGAGGCAAGGAGGATCAGAAGCTCAAGGTTATCCACAGGTTATATAGACGTTGGCCTGGGCTACCTGAGACCATAAAAAAACAAATAAAACAAAAAAAAACTACCATCAGCACCAATAACAACCAAACCAACAACAAACCCCTGCATTAGTACTGAGCATACAGATTTTACTCATTATTCCTTAAATAAAACAGTATAACAACTATTTATCTACCATTTATATTATTTTAGGTATTATAAGTCAGACTTTCTAAAGGCTATATGAAGATGTGCCTATACTGTATTCACATACAGTGAAATTATATATATGTAAGGCTTTTTAGCATCCATGGATTTTGTTATCCTTGGATGGCTTGAAATCAATCCACCAAGAATATCATGGGGGAACTATATTTGTTTCATTTTAACCAAGTAACAGACTTTATGAAGAAAGAAAAATGGAGACTGAATTCTAAGAACTAGTTCTAAGTAGTGCTGTACCTACTCCCTAAGTAAACCTAAACCTCAGCAGTGGCAGGCTCCTAGTTAAGAGAATATACTACCTCTGCCTACAGACCTTGGCTGAGGCCCCTTGGGGGTCAGTCCTCTGCTGGCACAGGGGCACAGAGGATGTACAAGACCCTGCCCTTGTGGAAACACACTCTATAACATGACACAAACTTGCTTCCCCAACAGAAAAGGGAATTCAGTTAAGAAAGGAGCCACCTGTCTCGTCAGCTGCTACCATTTGTAAAACAGGCTTTGTTCCTACTGTGTAAAGGAGAAAAGAATCCAGATCCATAGCACAACAGAGCCTGACTGTGTGAGCTACTGACATTTTAGTAACCCTTCTCAAGAGGGTCACAGGCAAGAGTCAACAATCTTTGTAATTTTCTTCTGCAGACATTAGTGGGGGGGGGCTCTTAGAGGCCTACCTAATTTTGCCAGAAATCTACAAGATGACTGGAGGGGTTGAAGCTGATAAACTGAAATTCCCATCTCTCAGAGATCTTTGTTTTAAAATCACAATACAAGTAATGAGCAGTGGCTTTAATTAGAGCACATTTTTAACCTAGGTTACTGCAGTATTTGCAGTCCCCTCTAGTAGCCAGCCAGAAGGTAACCCCTACAGACCAGGGGTTATGGGGAAGAAGGTATACCTATCGTAGAGTTGGGGTCCAGCCAGTGTTACCCAAGAAGCGCTACCACTGAAATACTCAACGGAAATCCTAAAAACAGAGAAAACACCTTTCAAAAAAAAAAAGCGGCAAGTGGCTTTTCTACAAAAAACTTATTCATCATGCTTTGGAAGGAATTTAAAAATCTAAACCAGATTACGAGAGGACCTGGATCTTTGTTAAGACACCCCCATCCCTCCGCTTCTGAAGGATGAGATCTCAAACCAGCAGCATCCCATCACTCTAGAAACATCAATCTTGGGCCCCACCCTGGACAGATTCAAACAGCTTCCAAGTGAGCCCAAGTATGTAGAATTACTGCAAGCCTTCCAGGGGAGAACCAATCCCTGCTCTTTAGACTACCTTTCTGAGAAAAAATGGGCCATGTGAAGGCAGCTCTTTAAGAACAGTCCTGACAGGGATCCCAAATACTGCTGAAGAACAAAAAGGTCTTTCCTGCTTCCCTTCTAGCACAAAGCACTTTAGTCTCCCTTCCAGCATGCTCTACTTTCCATAACCTACCACATTTCTCCCACTGAGAGGTGGAGATCCACCCCTCCCCTTGAATCTGGCCAGGCTTGGGATACCAGTCTTCCAAGTTAGGCCAGGAGAAGAGGTGTGGCTTCTGCCTGGTACTTCTGAGAGCTCTGGCTTCTGGAATCAGCTGTTCTGATGGGAGGTACATCACATTCAGAGGCTGTGAGCTGCTATTCTAGTCAATGGCTGGCACCACTTGCCAGATGAGTAAATGGTCATAGCTTCAGGGGCCTCTGGCCCACAGCTCTGCTACAGCCGTTCCTGACCAATACCTGGACAGTGGAGGCCTTGAGAGCCGGCAGGAACAGAGCTGAGTGTCACCTCTGCTAGAACTTTCCCGCACTCTCCACCTCACCTACGGTGCACGGCCAAATAAAATGACTAGGTTGACTTTTCTTTTCTTTTCTATACAATTAAGAAACTATAATCTGTCCTACAAGGATGGTCATTGGCAGGTGCCTGATATAGAAATGCATGACAAATTAAATAAAATGTACACTACATTTGGAAGGGTAATATGAAACAAGAAACGACGCAGGAAGGAATAAGATCTGAAATGTACTTACCGAGCATGAAGGGCTTCCCACTTCAAAATCTCCTTCCACGCTTGCTCATTATTCTGATTATGAATTCTAATGATATTATACATATCTTTCTGACTAATATCGTCATCCTTCCATTTCCACCTAAGAAAAAACACGTGGTAAAATCTGACAAATACTACTGACAATGCAAAAAGGTAATCCATGTCGTCATAAAATGATTGCTTCTTTTGAGACCTTCAAATGCTCATTTACATCAAATTTAATGGATCCAACACTCATTTTCAAGATTTACTCATGACCACAGAAGAATGCTATAAATCCAAACCAATAAACATACACTGGAATAAAAAATTCAAGGCTCACTTTAATCACATTTTACCAAATCCTCAAAAGCAACAATTCCGGAGCCACCTATTTTAAGGTGACACTTCTCATTTAGTGTCACTGGGTCACCAATTTTTTCTAAGCATTTCACATAACAGTTACTTTTTATCTTAAAAAATACTATTATCAGCTATAGGAATCAATTTTATGCATCCACCTTGTGGGGGTCCTACAGCACCCAGACATTTGGTCCAACATTCTAGGTATGGCAGTAAGGGCGATGGAAGATGTGAGCACAGTAAGTTGTCCTGCATCTGGAGGTCACGTCCAATCAGTCCCCGGCCTAAGCATAATAAAAGGGCTGACCTTTCCAGTAGCAGAAGGGATATGGTACGTCCGCTTGAGTTCCAACATTAGGCTTTTCCTAGTTTGGGACCTGAACTTAAACATCAGCTCCTTCTGAGTTCTAAGCCTGCCAGATTTCAGAGCAGAACTTCTACTATCAGGTCCCCAAGATCTCAGTCTTCAGACTCTGACTGTATCCATATCACTGGCCTTCCTGGGCCTCCCACTTGATGGCTGCAAACCTTGGGACTTTTTGGCTTCCACGATGAAATGATGATGGGAACCAGTTTCTTGCAATAAGTTCTCTCTCATACACACACACACACACACACGCACCAGACACACACAAACCCTGGTGGTTCTGTCTCTCTGAAGAACCCAGACCTTGAATACTGGCTTTCTGCTTGCAGTCTGGTGAGTCTAAAAACTCAGTTGTTATAAAGCAACTCATTAAAAACTACTGTATGTTTTGGAGGTTAAAAAAAAAACTTTAAAACATTTAGTTCTGTGACAAATTTGGTGAGCAAATTATCTTGTCCACTCACCCTTTCCGTAGCATTGCATTCCAGAACATCTGTTCGGAAGGGTAAACCCATTTTTTCTCAGAGTCTGCTCTTGGAATAGATGACTCCTCCCTGGCAGTAGACAGTGCGAAAGGCTGATCTGCGGATGGAGTCTGATTAGGTGGTGGCATCTAAAGAAAATCAGTTCATTGTGTCTTAATAGTAGCATTATGACAGATATTTTTAAAAATCAATTACACCTCGGGAAGCAATGCATCACACATGAAGCCCAAGTTCTCATTAAACCAGCGACATCGAAATTCAAACCTCTCATATACTCTGAACATACTACCTTTTGTTTGTTGCTACTACTAAACAGCCAGCAAGAAGAAACGTGAGAGGAAAGATTCAGTCTAGATGGTAGTCTGAGGGGCTACAGTCTGCCATAGAGAGTACACGGCAGCAGGCAGCTCCTCAGTGGTAGGAGCATGAGGAGCCTTGCTCACACCTAGATGGATCCGAAAGTGGAGTGCAGGGCCCTGCTCCTATGGCCCCTGTCTGCCAGGTAAACTCCACGGTCAAAGGTTCTACAACCTCGTAAAACAGTGCCACCAGTTGGGGCCTATCCTAGGCCAGCGTCTTTCACGTTTCACACTGCTGACCTCAGCAGCTGGCCATTCTTTAGTTGCAGTGGTTTCTCTGAGCATTGGTCAGATGTTTACCATCACCCTTGGTCTCTACCCAGAAGCAGCCCTCCTTCTGAGCTGTGAAAACTCGGTTTGTCTCCAGACATAGCCAAATGGCTCCTGGGGAGAAAAATCACTCCAGGTTGAGAATCACAGTTTTAGAGCTTCTTTGTGAAGTCAAAGTACAAAAGGTTTTCTAGCAGATATGCAACTAGAAGTCCCAGTCACCGACATGGCCCCGAGTGAGAGGATTGAGAGCAGGGGAAGCACGTGAGGCGAGTGTTGAACACCTTCCCTACCCTATGGCAGCATGCTAAGGGACGAGGTGAATGTCTCTGTCACTTCCTACCTGAGTGAAGTGGGCCAAGTCGCCAATTCTCACTCAGTCTCCCCAGCTCCAAGAGAGGGCAGTAAAAATACTGACTACGTAAGATGTTATGAGGACCAAAGGAGACAAAGTATGCTGATGAGCTCAAATGCTGCAAAAATAACCCCCAAAGCTAGCTGTTATCGAAATTCTTGCCACACATGTTATCCCTTAAGGAACGAGCATAGACCTGTAATATTCTAAAGAGCAATTTCCTTATACCTTGGTAGGGTCATTACTGAAGTTTGACAATTCTCTCCTTGTTCTTGAACTGGAAGTCTGGGATATTAATTCCTCCCAAATAACCCTGGGATTTTTTTCCATAAGCAAGTACACCAAATTATAAAAGAGGTAATTTGGCAAATTATAGCTGCCCCTTAGCTCTCATGTTCTATGTGAATCACTTCAGAGCAAAAACTATGCATCTTTCTAACCTCTAGCTTAGAAGAGACACATGCATGCTGCTGACACTCTAACACTGACTAGCCTGCGGGGACACCGCCACTTACTACTCTCCAAATGCCCATGCTTCCAAGCTCCACTCTCCGATGTCTCTTACAGACATGCTAGAGTAGAGGCAACCCACTGTTCCCTGGGCACTGCACCAAGCTGCCTACCAAACAGGTCTTCAAAGTCAGACCAGCAGACACCGATACACTTTCTGTCAATGGCCAGGGACTGGGTATTTTTGGTTTTGCGAGCCTGATGGTCTGTCACACCAGTCAACACGGCTGTTTTCTCTGTAGTGTCAAAGCAGACACACACTCTACATAGAGGAATGAACGTGACTCTTGACAATAACCTTTACTTTCAAAATGGACACGGGTCAAATTTAATTCACTGATCAAAGTCTGTCAAGCCTTGATGTGGGCACTGCTACTGTACCCCCATATCCCTTCTCTACCAGGCTGAGTGGTTGTCATGTCTTCAAATGCTGCCTGCTTCACTATGATTTCCAAGTGTTCGTGACAATCCCATGGCTCTCTAAAGTGACCCAAATCTGTGTAGCTCACCTTTAAATGTGATTCCAAACATGAGTCTGGTTTCCAGTTGTTCATCATAAAACAGTGAAGTCACAGCAACCTTAGTTGCATTTATTGATGACATGAAATTTTCAGGCAGCCACTCACACACATGATCCTCTAAGGATTAATATCCAGGCTAGTTCCCAATTGTGATTAAGGAATCACCTCTATCTTGCAAAATACCTAGAGGGTCTCCCTACATGGAAACGCCTTACAACTTCTAGCTATATTTCTAGAATTACGTACTACCATCCAATAACTTTTCCACAAGAAAATAGTCACTTGCTATAGTTTCTTTTGCTCCCTGTAGTCTGCTTTCTTTCCCAGGAACCCTTTGCCATCTGTATTTCATAACATTCTTGAATGCCACTGCAGATGGAATACCAAATTTCTGTTTCCAAAGAACAGAGGAATCCACCTTAGTAGGCTGCATCTGTCTTGGGTGTCTGCAGAGTCATTGCTGTACAAAATGCTCCAGGACGAGATGAGGGGGATTACCAGATTTGAAGGGTCAAGGTTCTCCTTATTCTTAGCTGCAGCATTTATAAAAGGGCATTCCACAAACTCATAGGCCCGATCTTGGTGGGCAGGCACGGAGTGTGCTTTGTTCTCACAGCTTGGACCAGATGCTGCTGCACTCTCTGGACAGCCTGAAAGAGCCAAGTATTAAAGTACTGTCACCATTAAGACATGAATCAGTGGGGGAGGGAGGGAGGGTCCTCTCTGTTGAGACTTTAAGAGCTGAAGTTCTGATCACCACATGAAAACTAGGTTTTTTTTTCTCTGCTTAAAGCTGCCAAGAACTAATTAGATAATATTCTAAAATCCTAAAGATGATAAGGGTCTATAAATATACTCTCCCTTTGGAAAAAAATGTAACTATTCATTGATTCTGTCATGCACCCAGCAAAAATAAACTAAAAACACGCTGCAGATTCAACAGTAGCTGTTGCCCAGGACATAGTATTAGTAACGGCCCAGAAGGCTCCAACATGGATCAGCAGCTAGGAGCTGACCAAGAAACCTAAATGAGGGCTGGCCACAGTTGATTCTTTGACTTCAGTCATTAGCTCCTGGCAAGGCCAGTCTCAATGTGGTTGCAGCCACCATCCGTTCTTGACATACTTCCTCAAGTACTGGGGACAGGAGCAGAAAATGATCAGGAAACTTCAGAGACTATTGGTGAAAAATTTCAATGTCACTCTGTATTTTGTTCCAAGATTAAAGCAAGCCACAGAAAATTACCGCTCATCTGAGACAGCAAAAGTTTGGCAATAAAAGGCAGACGTTAAAGAAAATGTCCCATGATAGACTCAGATACATAAGGGGGAAGATCTGAGCCTAGTGAATAGAGCAGCATAAGGGGCAGTCAATACACAAGTTCCCAGGACACTGATCCAGGCAAGCCTGGGGACTGAGAAGAAAGTCTAAGCATCCGAAGACTGGACTGGCACTTAAGAGAGCTGTGACCCCAAATGACACGTGTTCTGTCAAGTAATCTGTCCTTGTTTCAGACTCCAACAGGAACTGTAAAAGACATTGAATGCTAGATGTCATTTATAGAAGTTTCTTTTCACTTCCTTCGTTGGCATCTCCTCCCAGACCTTCAATTCCCCAGGACCCCATGCAAAAGGTGAAAATGGACTTACTATACCACCCTCTTTATCACTCAAAGCAACAACCTTTTCAGAGCACTGATCCCAGGTGGGCCTTAGGAGGAAAGCACTGTCACACTTTCACACTATATAACTAATAGACCCTTTCTGGTCTCTTACAAATACCCACATTCTTTACTAACACAAATAAATCAGGTCCACAATCTCTAAAATAAACAGTAAATAAAATAAAATCAGGAAAAGGGTTCCTTGAGGATAAAAGCTCAGAGCGAGAGCATACCTGCTGTAAGTGATGACAATTCTGGAAGGAGAAATATCACAACACTGGATCTGTCCTTGTCCAAGGTCACAGAATTTTCCCCGGCTTTGCTACTTACTAGACAACTTGTAAATAGTTATTCTGAGCTTTAGTTTCTTTGACTATAAAACAGGCAGAAATGAGGCTGGAGAAATGGCTCAGCAGTTAAGAACATTGCTTATTCTTATAGAAGACCCGGGTTCAAATCCCAGCACCCACATGGCAGCTAACAACTGTCTATAACTCCAGTTCCAGGGGATCAGACAGCCTCTTCTGTCTTCTGCGGGCATTGCATGACACGGGTGCACTTACCTACATGCAGGCAATACACACATGCACATAAAATAAAAATAATGAATAAAATATTTTTAAAAAACAGGCAGAAAATCTACCACACAGACTTATGAAGATGAGTCTGCACAGGCTGGAGAGATGGCTCAGCAGTTAAAAACACTGGTTGTTCTTGCAGAAGACAAGGGTTCGAATCCCAGTACGCACATGGCAGCTAACAACTGTCTGTAACTCCAGTCCTGGAGGATCTGACAGCCTTTTCTGTCCTCTGTGGGCACTGTACAACATGGGTGCACTTACCTACATGCAGGCAATACCCGCATACACATAAAATAAAAATAAAAAAATTTTTTTAAAGACGAGTCTGTAAGCTCTACTGAGCAAAGGATTTTGTCTATTTTGTATACTACGATTTCTTGTCAGCGCAGAAACAAATAAAACTCAGTACTGCTTGGCACAGAATGAATGGTAACCTCTTAGAGCGGGAGGGCTAACAGGGGAAGAATGAATAGACCAAAAGCAGGAGCAAGCAGTAAAGCATGCCATATTACCTCTGTCCCTGGTGGCTGACTGAGTGAACCCACACCTCAATCTGAACACTCTAAAAGCAGACACGCACTAATTAAAAGAGACTTTCTTGTTTCCAACTTTGCACTGGAAGAATGGTCTGCCAGTTCATTATGGCTTATTTTGATAGAGGCAAATACTGCAAAAGCTTATTGAGACAGTCGACTAAGTTTTCTCAATGCTGGCATTCCTGCTATTTAGGACCCAAAGAGTCTATATTGGGGGCTGTCCTGTGCATTGTGTCTCTGGTCTCCCCCGACTATATGGCAGGAGTACCCTCTCACTTGCTGACACCTAGAAATATATATCAACCAGCGTACCTGTCCCCTTGAACGATGGCTGTCCCCAATCCACAGCTGAAAGCCACGATGTAGTCACAGCTAAATGTTGGGGAGTCAAGGCTGAGTATGTTTGCATGCCTTAGATAATCGTGACCATCATCCTTTGAAATATCATAGTACACTTAAAAATGACAGGCTGAAACATAAATTTGTAGCCTATGAAACATTCTAGTAAGTGACAAAATTAGGACCAGCTGCAGGGTGCCTTACTTCCAGGTTTACAAGCGTAGTGAAGCAAACTATTCAGCCTCTTCCTTCAGAACCTTTTGAAAATTCTCAGTTGTTTTAATTTTCTAGCAAAGGGGCTACTCACCTGTTCCCTCTCTTCTATGCATTGGGCACCATGAAGGCCGTGAAGCAGGTCGAGGGTCTGAAGCACTGGGGGCCTGAACTGCAGCGGCAGGACTAGATGCTGAGGAACCCATGGTTGGAATCACAGGGATGACTCCCAGTTTTCAACTTCCAACTGCCAAAGCAAAGAGCCAGATTTAAAATGCCCAGGTTTAAGCACTAGCCTACTCCCTTGTTATTCCTAGCCTGGCTCACTGTCCACCTCCTCCTTCTTCCTCATCCCACCGGAAAGTACCAGGCCGGACACTCACTTTCAGACTATTCTAATACACTGCGTCCTTTTGTTTAACACGGTGCTACCTATGGCACTATCGAGGGCCAGGTCTCTGAGACTGAAACGCATAAGGTGAGGCGGTCTATAGAGAAAGCAAGTCACAGAGGCCACTTTAGGCTCAGCAACGGGAGCCCTAGTGATGGTGACACGGGTGGGGGAGGGGAGGCACCCAGAGCCCAGACTCGCCCCGCCAGCCCTGGGACCTCAGCAAGGAGATTGGTAACGCGGGGGTCGGGAAAGGGTATGCTGGACAAAAAGGAATTCAAGGGAGGAAAGAAGGGAAGGTGAAGGGCAAGGCGCCGCCAGTCGTGTGCACCTGTCTCCGAGTGTCCCACCTGCTCCAGTCCCCACACCCCACCCCAGGCGGCTGTAACCAGCACGCCCTGCCGTACATGAGTCTCCCTTCGGATTATTCCGGGTGGCCAGAACCGCCATGAACCACCAAGCCGAACGCGCTCAGCAGAGCCGGGCAGTTGTCGCCTCTTTCCTCCCTCACTCCAGGTCACCGCTAAAAGCTGGGGTCATCGCCGGGTTCCGCGAGCCATTACTTCCTTTTCCGAAGGCGGGCCTTCCGGTGCGCGGAGGCGGGCCGCAGGTGGCAGGAAAGAAACTTCTGTCAGTCAGCGAGAGTGGGCCCCACCCCTTCCGTGCCCAGGCCAATGACCGCTAGGGTACTGTCTCTGGCCCCGCCTCTAGGGACTGGACGCTGTTTTCAACCTGGCAGAACAGGTTAGCATGTTGGTTTTTCCCTAGCACTGAATAACTCGGCTCCACGTGTTTCAGGCGGCTGAAGGGTTGCTTTGAAGGAACTGTCAAGTTGCTGGGTATTTTCAATGGCGTCTGTTTAGGTGTTTGAAAGGTTAATTTTATTTTGTTTAAATAAACGTACTATTTGTGCTTATTTGTGGGATAAAATATTGTTATTTGGTGCATGTAGACAAAGTGTAATGATCAAAGCAAATCAGATCAAATGATTAAAAAATACCAAGTAGGTACTCAGAACTGTGCCTGACTCTGGAAATGCAAAAATAAACCAGACAAGGTTCCGCCTCCAGGGCCTTCTTAACTGACTATTCTAACACAAATTTGGCATTTTCTTCCATTAGGATTGAGGCCACGGATCTGTCTGTCCTGTTAGATATGTGTGGCATTGATAGAAGCCAGATAAATTACATCACATATCTCAAAAATACACCATGAATACACTTGGAAACAGATAAACTTTGATACAAATATGTTCTTGTTAAAGTGTTAACAAAGAAACCTTTGTCTTTCTTGACCACCAGTGGTGGATCTGTGAAGTGACCCACATCCCTCCACAGAGTCCAATCCATCACCCTTGGGGTGCTGAGGCTGTTGTTGGTTGACAGCTCTCAGAGAATCTCAAGAATTGTCCTGTGCCTAAGTAAATCGTCTCACAACAAAATCTCTTCTCTATCTGCATCCTGGGAGTGGTCTCTGTAAGGGTACTGAGATCCTAGCTCCAAATGGAATAATTCAGAAACATCATTTGTTTCACAGTTGCCCAAAGAATCAGGTGAGGATTCCATGGAGACTGTTACAAGTAAACTTCCAGCACTCTGACAGCTGTTTATGAGGATGTTCCATGTGACCATGAAATTATGGCTTTTAAATTTTCATATTATATTCCTATGGTAAGCCAACAGATCAGAGATGGTTATCATAAAAACGATAGTTTACTATTACAGATCGCAAGACAGGAAGTACACACTAAGCCATGGCAGGGGAGCGGCTACGTGAGGAAGCATCAGGGTTGATCACAAGGCAAAAGGGGGTTCTTTGCTCAAGAGCCTTTATTTCATGTCTGGGAAAGCAATGGATGAGACAGGGTCAGCAGGTTTTGGATTGGCTGATTTGGATATTTTCAGCTGGCCCTGGGGCTATTTGTAGTAGTCTAGTGTCTAGATATGGAATGATTGGAACGGGTATATAGTGGTCCAGCGTATGAGAAGCTAGTAAGGAAGGGGTTTTCAATATAGTTATAATAAGCTGTGTAGGAAGGGGAACTGGCTATCCTTTATCCAGGGCCTTGAAACTGCACCAAAATAGCATTTTAAAAAGTGTATCAGCTTACAGTACTTTTCCTTGTGAAGCCAAACTATAACAATCACAAACCATTTAAGAGCATGTTAACTATTTTATTATAGTTAGATTCTTGCAGTTCCTTGTATTTTGTTTTACTGGAAACAAATTATTTTGTTTGGGGCTGGAAAGATGGCTCAGCTGTTAAGAGCTCTGGCTGCTCTTGCAGAGGACCTAGGTTCAGTTCTCAGCACTCACATTGTACCTAACAATCATCTGTTAACTCCAGTTCCAGGAGATCTTTCGCCCTCTTTTGGCCTCCACAGGCATTGCACAACATGGATGAACTTAAAAACACGCAGGCCAACACTCATATGCATAAAATATAAGTAAATCAGAGATCTGCCTTTGTGTGCTCCCTTTCCCAGACCTCCTTGTGTGGACCATCTCTGCCCTGTTTAGGACCCCTGTTGACCTCCAGATCTGGGAGCTTTTTCAGACCTACCTTGATTAATCATCTCTCATGTCTCAGCAGAGAAGCTTCCTTATGCACATACAGAAACTCACGACTGTCCAATGTGCAGAGACTAATAGGCTGTGGAATACTTAACACTGAATAGGATACCTATATCAAACTTCCACCTCCCCAAGCTCAGGGATCAATTGCAGAAGAGGGGGCAGAAAGATTGTAAGAGCCACATAGGAGATGGATGACCACAAGGATACAGTTTTCCAGACAGCTGGTCAGTTACTCATATGAACTCACAGCAAGGGTGACAGCATGACAAATCCCATGCAAGCTCAAGACAGACAAAATCCCAGCATAGACATGAGGAAGTAGGAAAGAAACCTCAACCCTACCTGAGGAACTATTGTCAACTGGTGGCTCCTGGGAAGGGGAGAGTGAGTCTTATTTAAAGGTGAGACTCTTGGTAGGTTAACCAGGCTCCAGTGGATGAAGCCACACTGAATGGCTTTTATGGACCACAAACCTGAGACAGATAGATAGATAGATAGATAGATAGATAGATAGATAGATAGATGTAGTAGAATATCAAAACTTTTTACAAAGTTGATACAAAGCAAGGTGCAGATACAGGAGGGTATTTAAACATGATTAAATTATATTGCATGGAATCCATAAAACTTCAGTAAAAAATTTAAAAAACTAAAAACTGCTAAAACTAAAAACTAAATATTTTTGATCCAAGCACAAAAATAAATAAGTACAATTTTTAAAGATTATTCTGAGAAGACATTCATAGGCTTTGTCAGGCTCCAAAATGGTCTATGGCACATATAAAAGGACAAGGACCTTGCTAATAGGAAAGATAAGAATACAAATAAATAACCGTATTTACATCTCAGAATATGTACATGCTGGGCAAGTGAGAGATCTCAAAGCATAAAGGCACTTGCCACTAACCCTGACTGAGTTCCATCCCCAGGAACTACATGGTGGAAGGAGAGAAACAGCTGCCTTAAGTTATCCTCTGACCACCACATGAGCACTGTGACACATGTACACCCCTATGCACAAATAAATAAATAATTAATAAATAAAATAAGATATGTAAATAAAAAACATGGGAGCTAGAGAGGTGACTCAGTGGTTAACAGTATATGCTGATCTTGCAGAGGACTGAATTCCATCCCCAATACCCATGTTGGAACACTCACAGCTATCTACCTATAACTCCAGTTCCAGGGGATCTGATGCCGTCTTCTGGCCTCTGGGAGCCCCTGCACTCACATACACACACACACACACACACACACACACACACACAGTAAATAAATAAATAAATAAATAAATAAATAGTTTTTCCATTATGTCTATGTTTTTATGTGAGTCAGTATATAGGTATGTACACCTGAGGTCAGTTGCTCACAGAGACCAAAAGAGGGTGTTAGATCCCCTGGGGCTGGTATTATAGGTAGTTGTGAGCTTCCCCATCTGGGTGCTGGGAACCAAACTCAGGTCTTCTGCAAGAACCGTATGCCTTCAACCACTAGGCAATCTCTCCAGCCCTCTTACAATTTTTTTATTTTATTTTTTTATTTTTATTTTATGTGTAAGAGTGTTTTTGCCTGCATGTATGTAAGTGTACCTGTGCCCGTGGAGGCCAGAAGAGAGCATCAGATTGCCTGAAACTGGAACTATGGATGCCTTTTAGCCACTTGTGGGTGCAGGGAACTGAACCTTGGTCCTCACAAGAGCAGTAAGTGCTCTTAACCACTGAACCATCTCTCCAGCTCCATCTCTTACAATTCTTAATTTTCTGCAACTTCCCATTCTCTCTGATAGCTGTTCTTTCATAACGCACAGTACTCTTTGCCATTTCCTTTCCCACAATTCTTTTTTCACAGTTTTCTGCCTCTTACATCATCTTTATTTTCTCCCACAATTCCTTGTCTCAGCTGTATTTCTCAATTCATTCTCATAGTTTCCTGTATTTTTCAATAATTCCCCATAGCTTCCACAATGCTTTCTGCTTTCACTCTCCATTCAGACAGCTCCTCATTTTTCAGATTCCACTTCTTTTTCTCAGTCCCCCAGTGTTCTCAATTCTACATTACCTCTCACAATTCTTTCTTGTGTCACAATACTCCTTTCTCTGCCACAATTCTCTTTTCTCTTAAATTCTGCCTTCTCTCCCACTCAATTCCCCATCTCATTTTCTATGCTCTCCCACAATTACTAATTTTTCTTTGCAGTTTAATAGAAGACTCTGACCTTCCCGAAGCTCCAGATCAGAGGCACTGGGGGATCTTATGCAGGATCATGGTCAGAGCACAGGAAAAAGCTGTGGGCTGGGAGTGAGGACTTGACAAAATTATGCCTCTAAGGAGGAGCAGCTAGCTTTACATGGGATAGAAGCATGACCAAAGGTTAAGAGAGAGAGACGAAGTGTAGGAGCATGCCCCAGTTTCCTCACAGTTCCCTAATATACCACTTGACAAAGAAAATTTTCGTTTTGTATTTGAATATGTTTTTCTCTTACCTACATATAGGTTTACTGAAAATATACTATAATATCTTTATTAAGCTCTTTAATCCTATCAATGATATTCAAAGTGTGTCCTGACAGTGGATACTAGTTTACACATTATGATCATCTAACTCCTGTTGGATGAGGAGTATGCATCTGCAAATAAGGAAAGGTATTATATCTTTCACAAAAAAAAACATTGTTAGGAAACTTATCATCTCAACTAAGGGCCTAGTGATATGGCATAAACTTCTTATCTCAGAGTAGACCGGTAGCTAAGTTCTTTATCTGGCATTTTGGAATCAACGAATCTTGAAAACATCACTTATTCAATATAGCCATGGAAAATGTATAACATACCAGGTATTATGAAAACTACTGGGAATACACAAGTGCTGAGCAAAGTCTTTGGGAATGTATATTTGAGTAACTGAATAGACCAAGTAACTAACAATCCAATACACATAGAGATATATAATTTCAAATCTGCCTAATATACAAGTAGATTCTCCTTGAT